TGTCAAGGGGATGCTAAAGTATGTTTTCAAGATGAAGGATCTTGGTATGGCGAAGTATATCTTGGGCATGGAGATCGACCACGACAGGTCAGCTTTCACAGTAATGATCAAGCAGACACGGGACATTAATGACCTCGCTGAGCGATTTAGACAGAAAAACGCCAACGACGTCGACAATTTGCATACTTCCGGTCTCAAGCTGTCAACGTCACAATTACCAAGTACAGAAGCTCAGCGTTCAGAGATGCGGTTAAGACCCATCTGTAAACGCGGACTCTGAGAGTCAATGCCTTATCTGTGCGAAGTGCATGACAACCCCGTTGCACTACCCATGCAGATGCATGTGGGAATCAGGCCGTGATACGTTATACTGAAAGAGAAAATTTGTCCCTTGAATCTGAACGCAGCGACGTCTGTCTCAAATTTGTCAAAAATGTTATTTGACCGTGGCGCCCTTCACTTGAGTTGGAGTTAATGGCGCGCAGACTTGCTGATTACGGCTCCGGAGCACACAAGCTTGCCGAGCTGCGGACACCAGTGGAATTGCAATAATTAAGATGTCTGTGATACGACTGCGAGTAGAATCTGTAACGACAGCGACATAAGGTACGCAATCACATCACGTGATGTATATTAATTTAAAGAACAGGGTTAGGAATAGCACGTGGTTGTAAGCGTAGGTCCTATTATTACTTCAATACTTGGTTTCCACCCGCGCACAGCATCTTCTTCGCATGCATGACTCTTCATTAGGCTGATGTCGCTATCTGTCCTTATTTAAATACTCTGTCATGAGAAAATTTGCATGGTTTACTTTTTGTTTTAAATGTCAGATCGTTAAATTTTTTTGGTATTCTTTTAACGGTTGCCAAAATATACGAAAATACGGTCTGAAAATGTACGAAAAGTTTTAATTTACGGGAACGTTTGGCCACGCCTTGGCAAGCTAACCTGTGATAGACGGACGATATGGTCCAAACTCCAACAGTTTCGCAATCATTTCTTGTCTCCAACTGCTCATGCGTCGATAGACCTTCTACTCTTGAAGCGATCAATGATAAGCAAATTTCAGTCTCTCTGCCAGGTCAATAGAAAATTATGGCTCCGCTGGGACTTCATTCTGCAATTACCGGTGTCAGATAGGGATGACCACAAAGCTTTGAGCTGACACACCACCCAGGATATCCAGGATTCTAGAGAGATCCTACGTGCATTTATCTCCATTTCGCGAATTAAGGTCTCTTCTTTGCGTAAGGTGCTTGAAAACGAACGATCACGATATAGCATTGTCACTACCATCCTTGACCCGCTGGATCATTGTACATGATCTTGAGGCCATAAAACAGGCTGAAAGGGAGTTTGGCTCATTAGCAACCGATCAAATGGGTGTAAAACCGTGATAATACAACGAATACATGTCGACAATGAGAGGAATAACTTTAAAATGAGCCACACAGGTAGGCTCATGACATAGTCGGATTTTTATTTGGTGTTAGTGAAAAGAGAGGTGGGACAATTGGTCGCTGGGCTCGGAGATGAGGTATGTATGTAAGTTGCGGGATTCAGTGGATTGCTAGAAATTTTGGTCCGTTGCTTGTTATATACCGAGATCGCCTCGCAAGCGTCTTACATAGATTATGCGGAATTGTATAAGGCTTAAGTTAATGCATTTTTATCGTGAGAGGTGATTGATCGATGTGACGATGAGGAATCCTTGTGCCACATTCGTGCTTCTAAAAGGCATTTCTACATTGGCGTCCATAGGCGGGACTTTGTTTACTATGTTTCCCGGATTCTTCTGCTGTCGAATCCAAAGGTTTTGTTTTTAGGATAATAAACAGATGAGAATCGTTATTGAACATCTCTTTAGCACTATGACCTGGGATATAAAGTCTTAAATGAAGCATGACTACGTGGTGCCGATTGGAATACCGAACCAAGATTTGAAAAGTGGTGTATACCAAAATAAAAGAGGCTTGTTTCATATTGTCACGGTTGAGTTTGGCTCCTAATCTGATGTCTGTAAAAGGCGGTTGGTTATTCATGAAGTTACTTTGCAAATAATAGTACTTATTGATTAGGTACTCATAGGCCCGATTGGTGGAAATCAGTGTCTGAATAAACATGTGGCGCTGCGGAGCTGCCCGACGACGAGCCTTGCGCAGCGTCACCAGCGCTCTACAACCGTGCTATGCGGTTACAACAACTGACGTGACGATAAAAAGCATTAATTCCTCTAGCTCGTGCAGCTTAAATGTTCAAAAAACGCTAAAAAGTCTCACATCAGCGAATGTTTCGACTCCTAAAGCCATTGTACTGCTGTCATCTGCGCGGAATTACAGCACCAGATCAGGTAGATTGCTCACAACGTACCGGCTCGATTGCTCTAATAAAGGATCCAGACTGTTTGAGCAGACTCAACGCGCTTTGAGCAGTGTTGAAAGTACATACCAGAAGAAGACACCACTGGAGCACGTACTGCTGCGTCCAGGCATGTATATAGGCTCAGTCGAGACTACAAAAAACATCATGTGGATGCCCTCCTTTGAATCTACACCTGCAGAGGATGCAGAAGAAATCAGAATGAAGCAGCAAGCGGTGGAATACGTTCCTGCTTTGTACAAAATCTTCGACGAAATCATTGTCAATGCTGTAGACAACAAGGTCCGAGATCCAAGTATGAAGCACCTTGACGTGATCATTGATCCTGGGGATCAATTAAATGGATACAGGCCATGGATTTCAGTCTTTAATAGTGGAAAAGGAATTCCCATCAAATTTCACAAGACGGAAAAGGTCTACGTACCCGAATTAGTGCTTGGTCATTTGTTGACGGGATCAAATTTTGATGACACTGCTGCAAGATTGACAGGCGGGAGACACGGATATGGTGCTAAGTTGACGAATATATTTAGTCAAGAATTTGTTGTCGAGACAGGAGATACGTCAATGGGATTACGATACAAACAGGTTTGGTATAACAATATGCGAACTCGTGGAGAACCAGAAATAACTGAGTATACTGGCAATGGGTTAAAGGATTTCACAAAAGTATCGTTTTCACCCGATCTAAAAAAGTTTGATATGGTAAAACTTACTGCTAGCATGATGCGTGTGCTAAAGAAACGTGTGTATGATGTTGCTGGGTGCTTATCGGATGTAGAGGTGACACTAAACGGTAAACGGGTGCCCATTTCAGGATTTGAGTCCTATGTCCAAGCATTTTCTCACTCGACAACGACAACCTCAAATCCTGACTCTGCAAAGTCGTCGGAATATAGTCACGAAGACGCAATACCTGGGTCAAAATACATTTATTCTCGCGTAAATAAACGGTGGGAAATTGGTATTCTACCTTCAGATGTGGGGTTCGTACAAGTGAGTTTTGTAAATGGAATGTCAGCTTTGCGTGGTGGGTCACACGTTGGCTATGTGAGTGATCAGATTTGCCGTCGTGTGGTAGAGTATGTGAATAAAAAATATCAAGAGCTTTCAATTACTACTGCACATGTGAAGCCACACTTGGCGATATTTATCAACTGCCAGATTGAAAATCCAACATTTGATTCGCAGATGAAAGAGTACATGTCATCTCGACCGGTGACGTATGGATCAACTTGCGTGTTGTCTGAAAGACTTTTGAAACTCGTGCTAACGGATTCTGGTATTGTTAAACGAGTCGTTCAGCAAGCTCGTGCGCGACAACGTGCAGCGTTGCTCAAGAAAGTTTCATCTACGCGTGCTAAAAGCATGTCAGTAAATGTTCCGAAGCTAGAAGATGCAAACTTGGCTGGTGGTCCTCGCTCCAGCGAGTGTTCGCTTATCTTGACTGAAGGAGATTCCGCTAAGGCACTTGCAGTAGCCGGTCTAGCCGTTGTGGGGCGAGATCAGTTTGGTGTATTCCCCTTGCGTGGCAAATTGTTAAACGTGCGGGATGCCACAGTAAGTCAACTTGGTAAAAATGCTGAATTTGCCCATCTGTGCACGATACTTGGTCTCAGAATGGATGAACGTTTTGATACAGAAGAGGCGCGTCAGAAACTACGGTATGGGCGTGTCATTACCATGACGGATCAAGATCATGACGGGTCACATATTAAGGGCTTGCTATTAAATTTGTTTCACACGTTCTGGCCGGAATTATTGAAACGAAGGGATTTCTTGAGTGAATTTATCACCCCAATCATCAAAGTGAGTCCAACTTCAAAGCGTGTTGGCACTGAACGAAACTTAGAGACGCGTCGTTTCTTTAGTCTACCGGAATATTTTGACTGGAAAGCATCCATCGACTCGACAGACCTTAAGTACTACACCATTAAGTATTATAAAGGACTCGGAACCAGTACGAGTGCAGAAGGGCGTGAGTACTTTAGTGACCTCGACAAACATCTTGTAAACTTTCAATGGACTAGTGATCGTGATGGCGATGCGTTAGATATGGTTTTTAACAAAACCCGAGCTACAGACCGCAAAAAGTGGCTCCTTAACGAATATTCTCCTCACTCGTTTCTTGACACAAGTTCAGGGTATGTGACATATCGAGACTTTGTCAATCGTGAACTCATTCAGTTTTCTCACGCAGATAATCAACGATCGTTACCGTCGGTAATTGATGGTCTGAAGATTTCACAACGAAAGGTCTTGTTTGCGTGTTTGAAACGCAAGTTAACGAACGAAGTGAAAGTAGCACAGCTTGCTGGCTACTGCAGTGAACACACAGCTTATCACCACGGAGAAGCGTCGTTGCATTCAACAATTGTCAATATGGCACAAGATTTTGTCGGCTCCAATAATCTGCCGCTTCTTTATCCTTCTGGTCAATTTGGTACTCGATTACAAGGCGGAAAAGACGCTGCAAGTCCTCGATATATTTTTACACTGCTTCAGAAACACACGCGCTTAGTCTTTCCTGAAGAAGATGATGCATTGTTACACTATGCTGATGATGATGGATATCCAGTTGAACCTCTATATTATGTGCCGATCATTCCAATGCTGCTCGTTAATGGTGCCGAGGGGATTGGTACAGGTTGGTCTACAAATATTCCTTGTCATCACCCGGTACAGGTGATCGACAATCTTTTGAAGATTTTAAACGCAGAGGAAGCAGGTGATGATCTTTCAACGGTAACATTAACACCAATGACGCCATGGACTAAAGGATTTAATGGCAAGATTCTTCAACTGGATAAACAAGCGTTTGTAGCTCGAGGTATTGTGGAACACGTGAACACGTCAACTGTACGAGTGACAGAGTTGCCGGTTGGTAAATGGGTGGAAGACTACAAAAAGTTTTTATGGGATCTAATTGGAAAAAAAGTGATTCGATCATTTTCCGAACACCACTCGGACCGTGAAATTCGTTTTGATATCTCGATGACTCGCTCTGATCTTGCAAAATACACTGAGGATACAAATAAGGGGGAAGCATTGGTAAAGCTCTTGCGCCTTGAAGCTTCTTTAAATACTACGAATATGCATGCGTTCAATGCTAACGGTCACTTAGTTAAATACGAGACGAGTGAAGATATTTTACGTGACTTCTACCATGTCCGTCGTGAATTGTACTCGAAACGTAAACAGCATTTGGTACAATGTCAAACAAAGGAGGTCCTTCGTTTAAGTAATCGCATTCGATTTATTCAGGAGGTTGCTTTTGGCGATTTATCGAAAGTTCTAAAAGAACGTATTCCCAAAGCCGAGCTAGTTCAGTTGCTTAAGGGATTAAATTTCTCTCCAGCATCTGCATTTCAAGCGGAAACAATTAACTATACTGGAGACTTGGGGCTGACTACAATTGGTCATGAACATGATGTTGTTTCTATCGATGGAAGCGACGACTACGATTATCTCTTGAAGACGTCGCTTCTGAGCTTTACAAAGGAACATATTGAACGATTGCAGAAGGAACACGACTTGAAGCAGACGAAGCTACAACAGCTACAAGATACGACGCCGGCTCAGCTCTGGCGCACCGAGCTAGAGTTACTGCGTACTAATCTTCTACGTGACCCAGAATTTCAGTAGTAGCTTTTGAAATAGATATGGACTTCAAGCTTGTGATGTAAATCTTGTTATAGATTGGTTAAATATGATATTTATCTATCCTCCAATTGGATTTTGTTATCAGCTCCCCCTTTTGAGAAGACCATTTACAGAGCAAGAAACGCAGCTGGAAAGCAGGTAAAGTCTTACGGCAAAGTTTTGGGGTCTCTGGTATTGCTACAGAGTGATGTACATATTCTTGAAGACGTTAAAGTGATTTATTTTATGAGCCAATGTTGACCCCGAAACGATCGCCATCAGAGGATAGAGTAACGCTTTTCTAATTGCGTCTTGTTTTCATCTATAACCTACAGCGAGTGACGCGTTTGCAGCTATGGCGAAGCATGGCGCTGAGGTTGTGATCAGTACGTTGCTATTCGATACAAAGATCCTTTACGTTGACTCTGTTACAGCTTTTACGAGTGGAGAATTGTTCCGACTGATGAATATTGTGCTGTGACTGCTGTTTAGTGCCTCGCAACTTTAAGCTGCTCGAGGAATTGGAAAATAGTGAAAAAGGTCATGGAGATATGAGTATCTCGTACGGATTAGAGCAAGCGGATGATATTTTTCTCACAAATTGGATCGGTACCATTCTAGGCCCTGCTGGCGTGAGTTGTACGATTCTTTATCTGTCAGGACACATTGAGCTAATTGTTTTCCTCTATCTTGCAGACGTGCCACGACGGGCGCATTTATAGTTTGCGAATTCACTGCAGTGATCAGTATCCCCACGTGCCACCCGAAGTACACTTCACGAGCCGCATCAACATGAGCTGTGTGGATCCTCAATCGGGCCGTGTAGACCCGCGACGATTGGCTGCGTTGGGCAGCTGGCACCGTAACAATGGCATTGAGCACGTGCTTGTAGCCATCCGTGCTGAAATGGCTTCAGCCACTAACAGACGCCTACCACAGCCACCTGAAGGAACAAACTTTTAGAGGCGTGTCGCTGGTCTAATATTGCGAGTTTGTAGTCGAATTATGGAAAGAGAGTGAAGATTAGGAAAGCAGGAAGAAAAAAGTGGAGAAACCTAGTCTTATCATTCTACTAAAGGGATTGTTCAATGCATGAAAGTATTGCATGTTGTTTTTGATACGCTATCTAGATGTCTAGCATATAGGTAAATACGTCTAATAATACCGAAATCGATTGCGAAACTTCTTGGGTGTGGAAAACGCTGAGGGTGGTAATTCTTTTTGAGGCTCTTCATCACACACCTCTTTCTCCTCTTGATCTTTATACGTTTCTTTGACGTATGTTGTTGTGTGTTGCTCAAGATGTCCCCATAGAGCATTTATCAAATCAATTGATCTTCGGACCATATGCAGAAGAATGACAAGTGCACGGAAAAAATCAATGCCTGAGGCTGCCGTGAAGAATGGCACAAGTAAATATCCGACAACTTTCCATAATTGTGTTGGCTGGCTGCTGAAAGGAAGTAAAAAAAGCAAATGAAGCAGCAATTCGCGGCCAATACCGCACATGCAGACAAATCCTTGGTATCTGTGGTCCAATCTTGTTAAGTATTTAAATAACGGGTGCCAATTAGTGCGTTCGTCAAGAAAACGAAATTGCACTGCAATCGCATTTATACAATACACACCAAGATCAAATACGAGCATACACTGAAAAGAGGTAGTCAAAACCGGATAGAGTCTTTGAAGAGACAAGTACAATACAAGCATAGCCACTTGATCCAAGACAACTGACGTGAAACTTGCAATAGTGACCAATAGTCCACTTTTGATGCCCAGCATGAGTTTTCGTGCAGTGACATTGCATGCCAGCACCATGAATAGCAATGATGTGACTTTTGATCGCACATTCGGACCCGGTTTACCCATAGACTGAAATAAATTAAACATGAGGTAGATCAGCACTGCTCGAACTGATTCCACTACTGGCACTAAAATGACTGCTAATGAGTGTTTCGATAGTGACTTGTCCGAGACAATTCCCCAATATCTCGAGTAAACATAAACTTCCCGCTGACGTGGCGGGAAGGAAGTAATTTTACCGCTTTCTGGACTCGGTCGTGACGTCTGCTTGTCAAAGACTGGAGGGGATAGACATCCGACGCAAAAGCGGGTGTCAATCTCACTTCGCAACGTCTTTGAGTGTGCAGACTTGCAGTGCAACACGCGAAACTCTCGTCTGCCATCCACCGTTACTCGAATGGATGCTACTTCAACAAGAAACGGATCTAATAGTACGACGTCATTGGCTCGAGAAGACGTAAAGAACGACTTGTGTCGCAAAGAGCCATCAGGTTGTGTCCAGAAAAGATAAGGCTGAAGTAAGTTGTCCTCGTCAAGCTTTAGTCTTCCTGGAGAACACCAAATTGTCACCTCGTCACCAGGTAGTAAAGTGTAATTAAAAGGGAAGCAATAGACGTCGTCGCAACCGCTGCAGCTTAAGTTGAAGCCAGTAAGGTTGATACACGCTTCGGAAGGATTGGACACGACGACCCACTGCTTAGACACGTTTGCGCGAGAAATGTAGAGCTGCTGCATGACAATCTTGTGGCATATTTGCATACTTGCGCGCGCCACCTGCCGATCAAGCGTACTTAGCGGTAGACGCCGCAGCAGCGGGTAGCTCATGGCCATACCACAGGCTTGTTTGGGTTCGTATTTCCCGCTAAATAAACGTCGATTTACGCTCTAAATGTGAATACATCGGGTGATTAGTATGATATCGTGACAACGCGCAAATGCGCAACTTTAATTATAAATTTTGGGACTTTGGAATGCACATAAACCTATAGAGCAGCTTGGAGGCGCAAGTGAAGTTTGTTTTTTAACGTGAAATATCACCACAATATAATATATTATAATTATTACATTACAGCACGACTATAAAGAGAATTAAGTTTCATTACACTGACTGCCTCAAAAATACGAATATACACGGAATCTGTACAAATTCCAAGTACAGGATGGGCAAGTATATTGTTCCTGATAGGAATCAAGACACCAAAATTTCCATTTGTTGTTCTGGCGGAGTGATTACGATACTGCATTGCCAAGTTGTAGGTTGCGGATTCGAGTCCCCAAGCGACCAAAAATTGGGTTGGGCTGGCGATGCATGAAATAGTCTTGAGACTTAGGGTTGCCATCTTTTGATATAGTCTGAAATATGGTTGCTTGCGATAAATCCTTCGGGACTGTCGCGGAGAAAATGTTCCAATACCTTAGCTAGCCCTCGGCGATATGCGAAAACCCGAATGGGAGAAGCCAACTTAACGCTTAGGTAAGCCCTCGGGTGAGATTTATGTTGAGAAGATGAAGTGAGCAGTAGAAGGCAAGTTTGGAAGTAAATGTATTTAAGG